ATGAACGTGGGGTGCATGTTTCTGAGACAAATGAAAGGGTCTATTTCCATGTTTTTTCATTTAAGTAAAATGCTTAACTAATGGTTCAAATTTGATTTATAGTCAACCATCGCTAAAAATCAGTCAGATTAAAGAAATGAGAGATAAAATTCGTAAAACTAACACTTGGTTTGCATATCTTCACTAATTTAAATTTACGTAAAAAAAGAAAGAAAGAAGATGAACGCTGGGGCATCAATGGGAGGTGGACGATGAAGCGACTTTGAAGATAAGGAACTTGAGACTCTCCATTGTGAATTAAATGAAAGTCCCTCTAGAATGAGAGAAATAACACCCAAATTTCGAACCCACCACACATTGCCATCCTTCCCCATATCTTCTGTCAAGCTCCTGCATCCCAAATTACAGAACTTTCAAGAAAACCATGCAACAAAGTATACATTTTCATGTAAAAAAGAAGAAGAAAGAAACCTTTTTGATGTATCGAGCAATAGATTTACAGTCAGAGACATCGTGGAGATCCGAAGCTTGAGAAGCAGCAGACATTGCATCCATTTGCATCTTCAATGGCATATCTGTGTCTTCCACCAAAGCTTTTCCTCCCAACAAGTTTCCTCTACCTTCTCTTTTCTTTCACCAAAAGGAAAAACACAAAGAGCTCATATCACCTTCGTAGCATAAAAGTTATGAATTGCACCTAAAAAACTTAGAACTAATATTTCATTTGAAGTGACAATTTTTTTGTCTAGGTCATCCTTTCATTGCATATGGAAAATAGGTTTGTTATTCAACCAAACAAGGGTTTGTCTCTGTAGATCCTTAAATAGCTTACTCAAATGATAATATATTGCTTTAACGAGAAAAAAAAAGTTATGAGCAAATGGCACATCCCTTTTAAAGATGAATTGATAATTTCGGTCAAATTAATAATTATACGATCATATTGATTCACTCCTTCATATAGTTGAGTCAACATTTATTTTTCTATTTTGGCTATATAGTCATAGCTATGACTTTTTTTTTGCTATTGTAGCATCTTTTTGAATTGATTCAATATCAATTTATATTCTACTTAATCATCATCAGTTAATTATAGACAAATATTATGAACGTGGTATGATGATGAGTAACACTGAAAAAATAGTACTTATCGATGTATAAAATATGTTAGTGTTTATCGTCCTTCTTAAACTTTGTATGTTGAAACGTGTTTTTCATATGTTTAAGAAAATCATTACTCCTTAATTCTCAGGTAAGAAAAGGTTTGTGTGTTGTGTGGTGTGTGTGTGTATATATATATATATATATATATATATATATATATATATATATATATATATATAACTTTTGGGGTTTCATTATTCTTTATTTTATATTTTCTGTACCATAATCAAAACACACTCTATGGAGAGAGGATGTGAACGTGTTTCTGCAGGATGCTTATGAATATTGACAGTGATTTGCAGTCGCTGCGAGTAGCCTCCGATAAAGGTTGGTCCAAGTCAGATATGTATTAGACATGCTATTGTTGTGTACAAGGGAGCAGAAAACATATATTCATAATATAATTTGGCACGTTGATTTAGGCTTATATACTTTCGTGAATAGTCGACGGGTTACTGAGTATATACTAATATTTATGGATAAAAGTGTATCTCGAATCACCAGAACATATATTTTGTAGGTGTGATGAGATTTACATTCATTCAGGGATGGACCGGTAGTGTTAGTACGATCACACTTTCTTAAAATTTTGAAACTTCTTATATTTTAAGTATTTTTTTATATTTTTATGAATTATTTAATTTCGTATTTCATATGATTTTATAATTTCGTATATCTATGTTTTTAATATAATTTCTTAAACTAGCATCTTTTGATATAAAGATTTACATCCGTCTATCATTGGGTGATTGAGTTTTACAATCTCTCAGTGAAACAATATAATATCCAGTAAAACATTTGATCGTTTTTTATATTTGAAAATCATAATATAAAAAGAATGAAATCTTTTTGAAAAATTGAATTATTGGATAATAAGTAGGACAAGTGTAAGAAAATAAATCAAATAATTTGACAAGAAGCAAAGACCCACCGAGTGGGACATGAATTGAATTATTGGATGATGTGACAATTGACAAGATCCCACATTTGGAGAGCATCAAACACACAATCTTTATTTACATTCTTAATATACAGTTTTAAAAAAATGCTATTGAAAATTGGTAAAAAAGGCTAAAAAATTATTAGACGTTAAAAATGATCAAAAATATTACTAGACACTACAAATAATCGAAAATATTAAAAAATAATATTTTAAATAAATAATAATAATATTAAAATCGATAATTCCTTATTTTAGTATTATATTAATGTGTCACGATCTTACTTGAACATAATCGTACTTCTGTATTCTTGAGTTCTCCTAGACTGTGTTTCAGAGCCCGATTATTGGCTGTCAACCCAATCTAGGCTAAATTACGACACCATTTTTTTTAAATTTTCCCTTTCTGACACCGTTTGACTAATATTCCAGAAGTAACACCCTTTATGCTGAGTTGGCAAAGGTGCGTCCCCGGGACGCGCTTTACCCGTGTTTTCGCTGAGTTGGATGCCACGTGTGGAAGGCGCGTCCCCGGGGACGCGCCTTTGCCATATCAGCAGACACGTGTGGAAAGTGCATCCCCGGGACACGCCTTCCATTAAATGTCATAAATGCCCCCATCCGTTTTTCCTAACTACCCCTCCTCCTCCCCTATATAAACCCCCTCAACCCTCCCTCATTCTTCACACCAAAATCATATTCTCCTCTCTTATATAACTCAAATTCTCCAACTATTTGAGTTTTAAATTTGTTATTAGTGGTCAGAAATTTATTTTTATGTTAGTATTTTTTTAAATTGTTATTATTTTTATATTAATAATTATGTAAATATTATTTTTTATTAAATAATATTTATATAATTATTATTTATTTAGAATTATTAATTTTTTTGCTAATTATATTGTTTTGTCTACAGTTATAATAAAAACGAAATGCTGTTGCGATTGGATATTGATCATCTCCAGACATTTTAGCGATATGGTATATTTTTTATAATTATGTTAATATTAAATTTATTTTTTAAGTTATTAGAATTATATAATTTTTATTTTTATAATGTATATTATTTAGGATGCTGATCGTATTTAGAGACTTTTATTAAATCCACGTATACCGACACCGAACGTATTTTGCCATATTTGGCTTCTGCCGGTTCGGGTATATTGCAACAATTATAGGCGGTTGCAAACTCGAACCTGACCTAATTTCTGCACTGATTGAGAGGTGGAGGCCCGAGACAACACTTTTCACCTTCCATGTGGAGAGGCGACAATTACATTGAAGGATCTCTATGCATCTGGGGCTTCCCGTCGACGGAAATATGATGTGTGTATGGCGGATGGTGATTGGCAATCAATGTGCATTGATTATCTTGGAGCTGCTCCGCCAGAGTTTAATGGAGGTAGAATAGCTTTATCTTGGTTGAAAGCTAATTTTGAGGTTTTAAATGAAATGCTTCAGAGGATCAAGCAAAGGCATGTGCTCGGCATATATTCAATTATTATATCATAAAATAAAACTTTTAAAAGAGTGCTCATGATCCTTTATAAAAAAATGTCGCATATATTTGGTGCTAAATTAGACACTAGATATCAGAATAAGTAGGGGTGTATTCGGTTCGGTTTTTTACTAAAAATTAAATTAAATCGAAATAAACGGTTTTTTAGAATGTAAACCGAAATCGAATGGTTTAAAAAATCGAATTATGTGAATTCGATTTTTTCGGTTCGGTTCGGTTTGATAATATGGTTTTGTCGGTTTGGTTTATCGGTTTTTCAATGAAAAATTCACTTGAAATTATAAATTAAAAAAAATTGTCTATTCGGTTCAATATAGAACAAATGGGCTTTATATGGAAAGCTCGAACCGAACTAAATTAATAGAATTGATTCTTTAAACTAATCCAAAAACCGAACCGTATAATTCAAATCGAACTGTTTTACTCGACTCTTGTCGATTTTTCAATTTTATCGATTTTGGTTGCTCAGCCATGTCTTAAAACCAACTAATAATAAAGCAATTATTCAGGAAAATTAATTAATTAACATAGTTTGGTTCAAAATAAAAGTAGTTAATGGAAGGAATCTAATCCAAGTTAGGTAGTTTGTCAATTATTAATTAGAATATACTATCCGTTTTTTAATTAATTTAGCCTCTAAATAAATAAACAATTTGCTGCCGACACTTTTTCCCGAACCTACCACTCAGGGTGAAGTGCCAGCTATGGTCCCGAACCTCTCTTCTTGAATTACATCATCATCCCTTACCTCCTCTTATTTTTATATATAAAACTTAATAATTTTATATACATTATAAAAATATGTAATAAACCCAATATAACATGGAAGGAGCGGGGAGGAATGCTCTCTTACAAATTTTAAATTATTATATATTATTTTTACTGAAATCTATATTTTTTTCTAAAATTTTAAAAATTAACTTTTAATATAAAATCTTTATGTATCTCCCGCAAGACGTACAAATATTAAAGATTAAAATTATTATTATATCGAATAACATTTTTAATGGTTATTGATTAAAATAAAAATATATAATGATGGTTTTTTTAAATATATAATAATTAAAATAATAATAATAATAACTGGTTGTTCAATAGTGTAGTTGACATTATATTTAAAATACATGTGTAATATTAAATAAGAAAAGAAAAGAAAAGGTTGTCTTTCTCTTGGGTTACTTTACTGTCTGTATGCAACCATAAAATACACAGACAGAGAGAGAAACAGACAGAAACAGAGTGTTTTAGTGAACTGAATTGTTGCTTCTTTCATCATTCCAATCTCCTCCTTCTTCCTTCCTCTCTATCTCTATCTTATATCTTTACCAGTGAAAACCCCGAATTCTGAGAAGAATTCAACAAAAGAGAAAAGAAAAGATGCTGTCGACAAAGTCCGAATCCGATATCACAAGCCTAGCTCCATCATCGCCGTCGAGGTCTCCAAAACGTCCCGTGTACTATGTCCAGAGTCCATCTCGAGACTCTCACGACGGCGACAAGTCGTCGACGATGCAACCAAGTCCCATGGAGTCACCTTCACACCCTTCCTCCGTCGGACCCCATTCGAGGAACTCATCGCGAGCAGATTCTCGGGCATTCCGGTCTTCTTCCGGGAGGAAAGGTGGCGGGAAGAGGAACGATAAAGGTGGCCTGAGTGTGGGTGATAATGGAAGAAGGGTCGTATGATGAGTTGAGGATAAGGCCTTCACTAGGCGTTACATGGCCTTTGATTGCTTCTTCACCTTTGTGGTTTTTGTTTACTGTGTTTTGTTGATTATTTGGGGTGCCAGTAGGCCTTACAAAGCTGAAATCGTGGTCAGGTATGTCGATTTTATCGAATATGCATACGAATATATGATCTTCGAGATATATGTATTCTTATACTCGAATTCGAATAATACAGATCTTTATTTTCACCGATGGGATTGACCATGATTGTTGAATTCCTAATGTGTTGCAGAGCTTTGCAGTGCACAACGTTTTTGTTGGGGAAGGCTCAGATTTCTCAGGGGTAACAAGAATGCTGACCATCAATGGTACCTGAAGATGAGTGTATACAACCCTGCTACGATTTTCGGCATTCATGTTAGTTCGAACCCCGTCAATCTCGCGTACTCGGAGATCAATGTCGCGACCGGTCAGGTACGATTTATCCATGCCCCGAGCACGATTGTAAACTTTTAATGCAATGAAGTTAAGGTCTTTATCGAATCAACTGCAGTTGAATATTATCAGCCAAGGAAGAGCCGTAGAACTGTATCAATTGTGTTGGAAGGCGAAAAGGTGCCACTTTATGGAGCTGGATCGAGCTTAACGTTTGCACAAAATGGTGCTGCCCAAGTTCCATTGATGCTGAAGTTTGAAGTCCGGTCGAGAGGAAATGTCGTCGGGAAAACTCGTGAGGACGAGGCACCGGAAACAAATTTCTTGCCCTTTGGTAATCGATTCTGTGAAAACCAAGCTCCTTAAGTTCAAGAAAGACGAATGCACGTACCAGTGAAAGTCGTTGTCGTCTCGTTGCTGCCACATTCTGCCATTAAATCTCCAGCATCGCCATCGCTGGCCGAGCGATAAAGGTGTTCCGTTGTCCCCTTTTCTTCGTTTTTCTTTGCGTCTTCTGTTAAGGGTGTAAATGCTTGATGTTTTGCTTAGTCTTTTTTGAGTTCTTTTTTTATGGGAAATAAACAAATGTATAGACGACATAAGAGGTTTTTTGTGGTTGGTTTTGCTTAGGGATGTTCAAAGATAACAGAGCAAGAATAAAGACATCGTTTGAATATAACTGCTTGAATTCAGCTAAAACAAACACCGGCAAGATTAATCAAACAAAGACTCACGTATATCGACAACACCTGTTGTCCTAAATTATGATCGCAATGCAGTATATCGATTCTCGCCCTCTCCTGGCTTCCATGAAACTAGTTCAAAATGTTTGAGAAAATGACTGAAACTGAAAGAGATGAACAAGATTGTATAATTGGAAATCAAAGAGACACTGAAAGCTTGTTTCAAAGAAGACTGGGACTCGATTGGCCCGAAGCCTTCTCTTTGTCGGCCTATATTTATACCCGTACACAGGATTCTCTTTGTCCGCACACTTTCCGAGCCCAATGAATATTGCTGGAGCCTGGAGGTTGGGGTTTAGTTCCTCAGTTGGGAATTTAAAGATAACTATAAAGGTATAACTGTTTGGGAGGATTTGAGACGGACGCAAAATAAGGTTTGGTGGTATAGAATAGTGTGGGGAAGCTTCAACATCCCTCATTATTTGCTCATCATTTGGCTCATCATACGTGATTAGCCATGAAGAGTAGGACGATCTCTTGAGATTTACCTGTTTCAAGTGAATATAGGACCGCCGTAGAATTTATAATAGTATGAATATATAAGAATTTTAAGAGAATAAATTCTAAATAAAGAACATAAAAGATATATAAATATAGATAATTTTAAATAGATAATATAGGTGGCATTAACATAGGACGTAGGAGGCATGGTACAATTACTTTTTAACATGACCATTGACTAAGCAGCAAACATTTCTTTTGTATATTGAAAGAAATCGACTAACCAATTTATGATACACAAAACCCAATCTTTATAGGACTACATCATCCCTAGTTTATTACTAGTCGTCAGAACCTGCAACTTTAATAGATAGAAATGAGAAATCTACTGCAGCTGTTTTAGCTTTTTGATGTATGAAGCCCCATCTGATGATGACTCGTTTAACATTCGCAACCTGTCGATCTCTGTGGCCGTCCTCCAGAAACATCAATGGTTTCAGGCAGATATCTTTCATCATAAAACAAGTGTTGAAATAAAAACTATTAGCAAAGACTCTGGTAATGCAACCCTTTTGGTATTATTCATTAGGCATTCCACGGATCATCAAATAGAATCACATGCGCAGACACATATATGGAAATTATATCTAACCCAACCGAGAACAATTCATTATATAGACAAACATAAGGGATGAACAATTCAGCTATGTAAGGCTTAATTAGTTTATTCACTGTTCACCCCCAGTGTACTAAAGAGACTTATTTTATAGCCCCAAACATGGCTCCACTTGAAGTTATTCGACAAACTGGCCAATAATGGTGTGTAGATAGGTAATCGTTCAAATGAACCCACAAGACAAGATCCTAGAAATGTCTCAATCCAATAGCTTGAATTGCAATTTGAAGAAGCTTGTCCATCATATAAAGGTCAGATTCTCCTAGTGTCAACTTACCCTCTTTGTTGCTTCCAACTTTTAATATTTTTATTTTATTTCTTTGAAGACAGATACATTGGCGTAAATATTTTATTAGGCATTATCTTTCTGTTATGGAAGTGTTGACTTATGCAAATACTTACATTTCTTCTTCAGGTTCATTCTTGAGAGCATTTTTTGCTATGCACTCAAATGCAGCATCAACATTGAATCCTTCTTTTGCAGAGGTCTCAAATATGGTATGTTTCCCTTTGAAGCACACCATGCCTTTGCTTTCTTTTCAGAAACCTAAACCAGAGAGAAATAACCTCATTCATACACCATACAAAAACGCATTTACACTCCCATATGATACTATAAAACATGAAGAAATTCATAGGCAAAGGCAGAGGGGAGAAAGGAATGTCAAGAGGGTGGGAGACATTTTACCACTCGACTGTTACCACCATCAACATCAACCTTGTTTCCCAGCACAACAAACGGAAAGTTTTCGGGGTCAGATGGACTTGCCTGAACACCGAACCAAAAAAATAATGTCATTAGTCATTCTTCCAATTAAGATACTCTATACGCCATGGGACAGAATAATACCTGAATCAGAAACTCTTCTCTCCAGTTGTTAAGATTATCAAAGGACTTCATGACATTAACATCGTGCACAAGTACACAGCAATCAGCACCCCGATAGAAAGCCACACCCAAACTTTGAAATCTTTCCTGCCCGGCAGTATCCCATATCTATGAACAAAATCAGAAAAACGAATATATGACACTAAGAAATGTAAATAAAGTTATATGACTATTTCTCACCGAATTGAATATCTTTGCTGAGTAAAGAAAAAGGTGGGCTTAGTTTCTACAGTTGACATTTGACAATAGCTAAAATCAAACAATACATTAATTTATACAAATGCTAAAATCCGCTTGCATTATCATCATTAGGCACAATAGAAACCACAAGCCATAGCAACTAAGATATATCTTCAAGTGACCGTCTTTTACCTGCAGTGTAAACAGTCTATCTTCGAATTGAACCTCTTTTGTCAAAAAATCGGCTCCAATCGTCGCTTTGTTGATTACTGAACTTACGATTAACATACCTAATTCCAATAAAATTAACAATTAACCAATACATCAGAACCAGCAATCGAACATGCAAAATTCAAGAGTTAAATAAAGGAAAAAAGAAATCTAAGGATTTCAGTTACAAAGCTTACTGATTCATGAGAGATGTCTTCCCGACCCTAAAAGCAAAAGAAGACACAGAAAATCATAATAAAATGCACATTACGATTAAATAACAGCAAAATAATTGCAATTAAATTGGAAATGCACCAGAATTAACAAAACTTCAAATTCAAATATGCAAAAACAAAGAAAACTTCAGAAAAGTGAAGACGATTAAAGCTTACCCGCTGTCACCGAGAATTATGACCTTTAAAAGCATACGCCGACGAGAAGCCATTGGATCAGGTTTGAGATATTATTATTGTTTTAAGTAATTGCAGGTAATTATGAGATTTATATTTTTTGTAGATTTGGTCAGAGAACAGAGAAATTATAAAAGAAAAATAGAAAAAGAAAAACTTTGTGGCTGTTAATTTAATTTGTCTTGTTTTGTAAGAAAACCAAATTTATAGTTTTTTTCAGCAAAGGGGAAGACTGCGGTTGATAACAATATCAACATTCCAAAACTACCCCCGTATTTAGTTGAATTCAGTATGTTTATTCATTTAAAATTTTGGGTAAAAATACACAAATGATACCCTAACTATAGGAGTTACTTTGTTAAGTCCCCAACTATTAAAAATTATAAAATGATCCTTAATTATTGGACGATGTTTTGTCGAGTCTCCTACAATTAAAAGTTATAAAATGGTCATCTGACTATTCATATTCCAAACTCGTCCTTTTCCGTTAAAAAAATTATTATCGTCTAAGTTGAAAGTAACATGCACGACATAATATTTCAAGCACTGACTCAACGACATAATGTAAAACAGAGAGTCGATCCACAAAATGCAGCTCAAAAGGGACTAGGATCATTTCTATTATATCTTAGTCAACATGTTAACACTCAGCTTAGACGATTGCTAATTATTTTAACGAAAATGACAAATTTAGAATATATGAGTAGTTAGGTGATCATTTGTAACTTTAATAGTAAGAGATTCAACAGAAAACACCTTATAACCAGAGGATCATTTGTGTACTTTATCCAATATAATTTTTGAAAATGAATATTGAAAAAATGATTTATATTTTAAAACATAGTTTTAAAATATTTTATAAAATAAATGCACATTATAATTTATTTAATTAAATTAATTTATTATTAAAAAATAGTTTACAAAATTTAAAATATATATAATTTTTTATTTATATAGTTATATCAAATTAAAATCTAATATTACCTAAATTCTTATAATTATAAATAATATAAACAATTTATGTTGATTATTTTATAAATACATTATTTTTATATTTTCTCTTTCGTAGTAGCTTCTACTTAGGGATGGGCATGGGTAGGGTTTCGACCAATCTGACCCGACCAAAAAATTGTACATAATTCATCCGATCTTATCTGACCCGAAAAATATATAATCTCCACCCAACCCGACTTTTTGAGATAAAATCTGAACCTGACCCGACCTGAAATAATAAAAATATTATTTTATTCAATAAAAATAGTCATTTAATTGAAAAAAAAAATATTATATACAAGGGTATTATTGTAATTTTTAATAAATATATAAGGTAAAATTATATTTTTTCGGATCGGATTAAGTATTTTTCACCCTAAATCCGAATCCGACCCGACCTAAACCCAATTTAAAAAAAAACTCCAATCTAATCCGATCGAATCGGGTTATAATTCGTCAGGTTTGGTCCCATTCCCATCCTTACTTCTACTCATCCTTATAATAAGTCAAGAGAAAAGTTCTGTTAGTGCATATAGAAAAATTAGTGTTGCGACAAATAAAGAGAGACAAGATTTTATGTCAATAATATATATTTTTAAATATTATGTTAAAATTTTAAGAATACAAATTTATAAAATTTTAAAAAATCAAAATGAAAAATAAGCTTGCCTGTTGAACAAAAAAGGGGTAACCATTTTGATCTTTACGATAACTATCATTAACTATATTAATTTTTAAAGGTCTTGATAATTGAATTGTGACATTCCAAAAAAGATTAATCTATTTCTAAAGGTTCTTAGCACTTTTTAGGAGGTCACGAGTTCAATTCTCAAGAACTTCAAAAGACGTATTAACCTTTTTTTAACCAATAAAGTTAATGACATGTTAACAGAAGGATCAAAATGGAATATAGTAATAATTCGAGGATTGATATATAATTTTTAAAGTTAGATATTAAATTAGAACGAGGGTCACAATTTAGGGATCGATATAGAATGTTTTAAGATTTACAGATCATTTTAGAATGATGGTCATAGTTTGTGGACATCCTATGTAATTATCTCTTTTATTTGGATAAATATTATAGTACAAATTTTTCATTGAATGCATCAAAATATTTATTTTTAGAAACTTAGA